CGCATTATTCCTGTTGCTAGCTTGGCTGGTTGGGTTCATCCTGATAGGTGTGCTATCATTCTTTACGGCCTTGCCGAGCTTAGAATTGTTTGGCATGGTAGCAGCAGAGATGTATGCAGCAGATGGGGTAGACTCGTTGATATGGCAGTAGCAAACGTCAGGTTAGCTTCCTCCAGGGAGCAACACTAATGAGGTCGAGATGAGGTAGTAGGTTAGGTTTTGTCGAATATTTCGGTCACATTTAGGTCACTGGGTACTTAGCTGCCTTCTGGGGTTGTTACATATCTGTGACTGTCTTGTCTACCTCTTTATTGGAGCCATCTCCGTTTTTCGTCCCAATTCCCCCAGGTTTTCCCCCAAATTTCGTCCCCAACCCCCAGGTCTTTCTCTCTGACTCTTGAAGTATTTCATCTCCCAAGTGATACCTTGTATCTGGTCTCCTGCTTCCTACCCCTATCTTCATTACATTACATTTGCTTGGGTTAAACTCTAACATCCATTTGTTCGACCATTCCTGCAGCTTGTCCAGGTCTTCTTGAAGCCTCAAGCTGTCCTCTGTCTTAATCCTTCTCATAATTTTGGCGTCGTCAGCAAACACTGAGAGGAATGAGTCTATACCCTCTGGGAGATCATTTACGTATATCAGAAACAGGATAGGTCCAAGCACAGAGCCTGTGGGACTCCACTTGTGACTTCACGCCATTCTGAGGTCTCACCCCTCACTATAACTCTCTGCTTCCTATTGCTTATTTACTTCCTTATCCACTGGAGCGCCCTACCAGTTAGTCCTGCCTGTTTCTCCAGCTAATGCATCAACCTTTTATGGGGTACTGTGTCAAAGGCTTTCCGACAGTCCAAAAAAATGCAGTCCGCCCATCCTTCTCTTTCTTGCTTAATCTTTGTTACCTGATCATAGAATTCTATCAAGCCTGTAAGGCAAGATTTACCCTCCCTGAACCCATGTTGATGGGTTGTCACGAAGTCTCTTCTCTCCAGATGTGTTACTAGGTTTTTTCTCACAATCTTCTCCATCACCTTGCATGGTATACAAGTTAAGGACACTGGCCTGTAGTTCAGTGCCTCTTGTCTGTCACCCTTTTTAAATATTGGTACTACATTAGCAGTCTTCCATACTTCTGGTAGGTCTCCTGTTTCCAGTGACCTACTATACACTATGGAGAGTGGCAAGCAAAGTGCTCCTGCACACTCTTTCAATACCCATGGTGAGATTCCATCCGGCCCAACAGCTTTTCTCACATCCAGCTCCAATAGGTGCTTCTTGACCTCATCTCTTGTAATTTTGAACCTTTCCAAGGTCACCTGGTCATTTGCAAGGGATGACCCAATGGAAGAGAAGAACCTATTGAACTCAATAGGAGAATCAGTGGCTGAAAGCTGACCATCGTTATTGGACAGGAGTGTTGGTTTGTTATTTAAAATCTTCTTTGATCCCAATATTTGTGAAATTGTGCTCCAAGTTTTTTTAATGTTGCTCTTATCTTCGGTAAATTTGGTAAATTTATCTTCGTAGTATTTAGTTTTGGCTCGTCTAATTATTTTAGATAGCAATAACGAGTAATTCTTTGAGAATTCTTTGGAGACGGTTCCTAACCTATACTTCTTCTCAAGGTCATGTTTTTTATTAATGGATTTAAGTATTCCCTTTGTAAGCCAAGGATTGTTATATATATAAGCCTTTTGGTTGTGACTTGTTTTGTAAGCATAGGACAGTGGGTGTTATAAAGGATGAGAGTTTTTTGAAAAAAAGATTGCACTGCTAGGTTGATGTCCCTTATGTTACCTAATTCGGACTCCCAGTTGACATTATCAGCAGCAGTTGTAAAATTGTCTATAGGAGTTTCATTGAGCAGCCTAAAGCTTAACTCCCTTGTCTTTAGAGGTGGTTTGTTAATGTTAGTTAAGAGAAATTAGGGGTAATGGTCTGTAGTGCTATCGGTGATTATACCTGAAGTAAGCGGAGAGGTTATGTTGGTCCAGATGTGATCTAGAGTCGTGGCAGTACTATCAGTGATTCTAGTAGGTCTAGTGATTAAGGGTATGAGGAAGCAGGAATTTATTCAGTTCAAGCTAACAGCAGTAGGGTGTTAAGGCTCGCAGAGGTCAATATTAAAGTCTCCTGCGATAATTAGATGGTTTTTGTTCAGTCTGTTATTTAGTATTAGATTTCTACAGTTTGAGTTGAATTCAGACACATCAGTGTTAGGAATTCTATAGACTGCACACACACAGGACAGACTCGGCACCCTTGACTCTGAAACTGGCGAAGATATACTCCCCACAGCAGTCTCTAGTTCTAATTACTTTTAAGCATATTTGTTCTTGGTGGTAGTAAAAAGGTAAGGTAAAAGAAGTCTGGAGAAGGGGGAGTGAGGCAGGCAGGAGGCAAATCTGGAGAAGGGGGAGTGAGGCATGCAGGAGGCAAATCTGGAAAAGGGAAGTGAGGCAGGCAGGAGGCAAATCTGGAGAAGGGGGAGTGAGGCATGCAGGAGGCAAATCTGGAAAAGGGAAGTGAGGCAGGCAGGAGGCAAGTCTGGAGAAGAGGAATGAGGCAGGCATGAGGGCAAGTCTGGAGAAGAGGAATGAGGCAGGCATGAGGGCAAGTCTGGAGAAGGGAAGTGAGGCAGGCAGTAGGCAAGTCTGGAGAAGGAGTGAGGCAAGTCTGAAGAAGGGGGAGTGAGGCAGGCAGGAGGCAAGTCTGGAGAAGGGAAGTGAGGCAGGCAGGAGGCAAGTCTGGAGAAGGGAAGTGAAGCAGGATGAGGTAAGTCTGGAGAAGGGGGAGTGAGGCAGGCAGGAGGCAAGTCTGGAGAAGGGAAGTGAGGCGGGCAGGAGGCAAGTCTGGAGAAGGGAAGTGAGGCAGGCAGGAGGCAAGTCTGGAGAAAGGGGAGTGAGGCAGGCAAGAAGCAAGTCTGGAGAAGGGAAGTGAGGCAGGCAGGAGGCAAGTCTGGAGAAGGGAAGTGAAGCAGGATGAGGCAAGTCTGGAGAAGAGGGAGTGAGGCAGGCAGGAGCCAAGTCTGGAGAAGGGGGAGTGAGGCAGGCAGGAGGCAAGTCTGGAGAAGGGAAGTGAGGCAGGCAGGAGGCAAGTCTGGAGAAGGGAAGTGAAGCAGGCATGAGGCAAGTCTGGAGAAGGGGGAGTGAGGCAGGCAGGAGCCAAGTCTGGAGAAGGGGGAGTGAGGCAGGCAGGAGGCAAGTCTGGAGAAGGGGGAGTGAGGCAGGCAGGAGGCAAATCTGGAGAAGGGGGAGTGAGGCAGGCAGGAGGCAAATCTGGAGAAGGGGGAGTGAGGCAGGCATGAGGCAAATCTGGAGAAGGGGGAGTGAGGCAGGCATGAGGCAAATCTGGAGAAGGGGGAGTGAGGCAGGCAGGAGCCAAGTCTGGAGAAGGGGGAGTGAGGCAGGCATGACGCAAATCTGGAGAAGGGGGAGTGAGGCAGGCAGGAGGCAAATCTGGAGAAGGGGGAGTGAGGCAGACAGGAGGCAAATCTGGAGAAGGGGGAGTGAGGCAGGCAGGAGGCAAGTCTGGAGAGGGTAAGTGAGGCAGGCAGGAGGCAAGTCTGGAGAGGGTAAGTGAGGCAGGCAGCAGGCAAGTCTAGAGGAGGAAGTGAGGCAGGCATGAGGCAAGTCAGGAGAAGGGAAGTGAGGCAGGCAGGCAGGCGGCAAATCTGGAGAAGGGGAAGTGAGGCAGGCAGGAGGCAGGTCTGGAGAAGGGGGAGTGAGGCAGGCAGGTGGCAAGTCTAGAAAAGGGGTTGTGAGGCAGGCAGGTGGCAAGTCTGAAGAAGGGAAGTGAGGCAGACAAAAGGAAAGTTTGGAGAAGGGAAGTGAGGCAGATAGAAGGCAAGTCTGGAAAAGGGGGAGCGAGGCAGGCAGGAGGCAAGTCTGGAGAAGGGGGAGTGAGGCAGGCAGAAGGCAAGTCTGGAGAAGGGAAGTGTGGCAGGCAGAAGGCAAGTCTGGAGAAGGGGGAGTGAGGCAGGCAGAAGGCAAGTCTGGAGAAGGGGGAGTGAGGCAGGCAGAAGGCAAGTCTGGAGAAGGGGGAGTGAGGCAGGCAGAAGGCAAGTCTGGAGAAGGGGGAGAGAGTGACGGACCACCATCATCATCACTTGGTCCATCATCCATGTGGTGGTTGACTATCATCCATGTGGTGGTTGACTATCATCCATGTGGTGGTTGACTATCATCCATGTGGTGGTTGACTATCATCCATGTGGTGGTTGACTATCATCCATGTGGTGGTTGACTATCATCCATGTGGTGGTTGACTATCATCCATGTGGTGGTTGACTATCATCCATGTGGTGGTTGACTATCATCCATGTGGTGGTTGACTATCATCCATGTGGTGGTTGACTATCATCCATGTGGTGGTTGACTATCATCCATGTGGTGGTTGACTATCATCCATGTGGTGGTTGACTATCATCCATGTGGTGGTTGACTATCATCCATGTGGTGGTTGACCATCATCCATGTGGTGGTTGACCATCATCCATGTGGTGGTTGACCATCATCCATGTGGTGGTTGACCATCATCCATGTGGTGGTTGACCATCATCCATGTGGTGGTTGACCATCATCCATGTGGTGGTTGACCATCATCCATGTGGTGGTTGACCATCATCCATGTGGTGGTTGACCATCATCCATGTGGTGGTTGACCATCATCCATGTGGTGGTTGACCATCATCCATGTGGTGGTTGACCATCATCCATGTGGTGGTTGACCATCATCCATGTGGTGGTTGACCATCATCCATGTGGTGGTTGACCATCATCCACGAGGTGGTTGACCATCATCCACGAGGTGGTTGACCATCATCCACGAGGTGGTTGACCATCATCCACGAGGTGGTCGACCATCATCCACGTGGTGACATGCTCACTCATATAATGCTCATTTATCTGCCATTATGTTTTGTAATTTTAATATCCTAATTAAATTGATTTCTATACAAATAATTGACTTGGTGATCTATTGGCATACTCGACAGGCAGTTTGAGATGGTGTCCCGCTACTGTGACGTCTTCAGTGACCTCATTCCAGTTGCCTTTGTGCTGGGCTTTTATGTGAGCATCGTTATTCGTCGGTGGTGGGAGCAGTACAAGACACTTCCCTGGCCAGACACCCTCTCCCTCTTCATCTCCACCTCCATCCATGGCCATGTATGTTGTATGCCAAATTTGAACGTCATGTAACGTAACATTATTTATAGTCTTTTTATACTTTACTGTTAATTTACTTTCTCTGAGAATTGCTCTGGTATTAACTGCAACAGCAGGTGAACTCAAGTTGAAATGGTCATGGGGAAGGTCAGACAGGGAATGAAGATATTCAATCCCAAGAGGCCAAGAATGTGCCTATAAGTGTACAGAAACCAGCAACATACGGTACAGCAACCGAGTATAGGAGGTTAATGTAACCATGCCTGAGTCCAGCCATTTTGAAAAGACTATGTAGAGCTGAGGGGAGGACTCCTGACCCAACACCCCTGGACCTAATGGAAGGTGGACCATCTCCACTCTTGCCATGAGAAACTACACGGTAAATCCCACCAATTGTTTGACCAGGAGCTGGCAAAACAGACTAAACAGCTTGCCACACCACTGTCAAAGAAGCGAACTGCATAACGGCTGATGCGAAGAACCCAAAGCAGAGCCACCCTTGTGTGATGCAAGGTTGTGACATTGAGCAGTGGAGGCAACAGCTGAATGAAGCGGAAAGGCCTGAGAATCCAACTTTACTGGAGGCCTACCCCGACCAACAGTAGACAAGGTCCTAACCCTGATTAGACTGCCTCTGAGCAGATGGGTCAGGACCCCTCTTCAGAGTAACCCAACTGAGAAGCCAAAATGAAGCAATGGCAGTCAAAATTACAACAGAGACCTCCTCCTCCTCAGGAGAAAGGAAGACTGAAATGATGGACTAAATGATGGATGAAGATGGACTAAAGAATCGAGGAACTGCAGGAGTGAAAGCTTTTAAACAGGGATTAGCTGTTATTAGCTTAGCTTAGCTGCATCAAAATTTCTACACTGAAACTAAGAAAACAAGATGTCAAAACAAGTAATTACTTTTGAGAGAAATTCTAACCTAAACTCGAATTCAGGATCAGTTCTCTTAATATATTCATTACCTTTTGATGTACAGTACTTTCTTGGTTGTAGAGAATACACAGTAGTTCACTTCAGTATTTTATTGGGTAAAGGCAACAAGGTATAAATATGGCCTGCCGAGGTCCTACCTAACTCTGGTCTCGTGAGATATTGAACCTGCCTCCAGAGTGGCTAGTACCAGCTCTGTAGGGAATGATGTCAGAGGCCTACTCAACTGTGATTGGGTATATCCCAACAGTCATACAATTTGAGTACTAACAAATATCAGCCACTGCAGATCCAGTATCTCCTGAGTTACATGCTTACAGAATGGTGCAACATTCAATTAATGCATCTTTCATTTCACATTTCTGTTTTTGTCCACCTCTTTATTGTGTATTACAGAGCAGAAAAATGCCTGAATGCTGATTTCAATCTGAGCTACAATGATGACTTTACCCAGCATTGATAACTCAGTCATGTTATTGATGTGCTTGGCCTACTGTTCATGTTTTATTATTTTCTGTGGTAAATCTCTGAAGTCAGTCAAACCACTTTTTGTCAATGATGATCCCCACCAAACACTGACCACGAACAGCAAAATAGTGTTTTTCTCGTCACAACCACAAAACCATTCACATTTCTGATGCATACTGATATTAAACTTATTTAATTTTCTGGGGGCTGCAATCCCCCAGAAAAGCAATCCCAGGCTGATATATTAATGTCAGACTTGGGCATCAGTCATGTGTGTGGAGTTCTTAGGCCTACCGGGGACCACGGCCAGAACCGGGCCCCCTCAGAGAGGCAAGGGGAGCAATGGCCTATAGAAACCCCTGTGTGGTTGGAAGCATTCCATGTCTGCCATCGACTGGATCAGGCACCCCAGAAAGGTAAGCACCTCAAAACAAACCCTTATTCTGGTTAAAATTGCTACCAAAAGTCGATATAGTGGATAGAACACCCCAACAGAAAACGAGCAAACTAGTATGATGTCACGTCGCTGCTGCGCAGGGAGTTCTGTCTGCGCAGCTCCCCCCTCCCTGGGAGGGGGAAAGGGGAGCCCCAGACCCTTCACGCCGGCTATCCCACACCTCAGTTCTTGAGGCTGATGCTATAGGCAAAGGTCGTGTGCTCTGGCTCCAGTGTCGCTACACTGTGCTTCGTATGTGGTGTTTGTTTTCTGTGGGTGCGAGAGTCAAGAGTTATCTTCAGTACTCGAGCTGCATGCGCCTAGGGCTGCCTTCCCTAGGTGCCCTGTAATTACTGCCCTTGGGGCCACCTTCCACAGGCTCCTCATGACCTGCCTCTGCTGGTCCGTTTTACCATTCATTTTTTCGGCGCCTGTTGGGCTCTTGGGTGTTCTGTTCTCCCTTGTTACCTGCGGGTAAGAGGCAGTTTGCCCTGGTAGGGGTGCAGGGTGCAACGCAGCTTTATATTCCTGACATAGCGGCCGGCTCTGTTCTTTGGGTTCGCTGTCCTCTTGCAGGGTTTTGTTTTTGTTTTTGTTTTTGCCTTGTGGGGCGGTTCTGCCCTATTATTCCACTGGTGTTTGCCCTTCCACGGTTCTCCTTGGTGGCACCCCTGCTAGGTCCCCGTAAGTGTACACATCCCTGGGGTTCAGCTATAGAGGTTTGCTTGGTAGTTTTGGGTGTCGGTTAGCTGCATCCTGCCTGGGACTACCTGAGCGTGAATCCTCTTATAGTAAATGCTCAGGACCCTGGAAATCCCCTTGGGGGCGCGTGGGTCCGGAGGATGTGACCCCAGAGTCCCCGCTCGCTTTGTGCGAGTTTGAGGGTTGCTCGGTCCCCTTATCTCGGGGTGACCCTCATTGTTTTTGCCTCTGCCACACTGCCTGTTGGGTCGGTGATACTTTAGACCCTGAGTCCTGTGAGTGTTGCTGCTTGCTTGCGAGTCAATTTACCCAATCCTCTGATGATTCTATTCGGGTACAGGCAACGCGTGCGTTGCAAGCAAGGTTTCGTCTGTTGCAACGCACTCGGTTGGTTGCTCACCCAGATCCCCCGGAGCTGCCCCGCTTTGCTTTTCGAGCCGGACTTGGGGCTGAAGGTCGCTTCGATCCTGGTTCAGTCCGTACCTCCTCGTCTTTTCCCTCCTGTTGTTTGTTCTGGTCCCCCTCCCCTGCTTCCAGCCCCTAAACGTCTGAGGATTTCGGAGTCGGAGCAGGGATTCCTTGATCTCGAGACTTGGGCAGCTTCGTGGGATGCCCCTTCCAGGGGGGGCAGCGGAGGCTTTCGAGTCTTGTTTCCCGGCCGAAGCTTCTGGGTCTGACCGGTGGGCCCCCTTTCTTCCAGTTTCTACAGCTGCTCCATCCTTGTCTTGTGGGGTCGGTGCATGGGGAGAGGACTCGGCCCCGGGTCCTGCTGTGAAGGACCTCGGGGCTGGGGTGGGGCTGACTTGGGGTTCTTGGGCCCCGCTATACCCCGCCTGGGTTTTTCTTCCCTCTGAGCGGGGCTTGTTGTTACAAGGAGTGGGGTTTTCTTTTCCCCCCTCTGCGTACGAGTTGGATTTGGTGTCGGCCCCTCCCCGGGTTTGGTTCTGTGTTCCCCCGGGTGCATCGGTTCTGTCTTTCCGGAGAGGTTTGGTGGTGTGGTGCGGGCGGCCCTTGCAGCGTACCTCCTGCGTGACCCGGAAATAGATCCATCCAAATTCAGGTTTGGGACTTCGTTCCCTTTCTGGCTCCGTTACGAGGTTCCGGAGTCTTCCTGGCTAACAGACTGCCCCTTGTTTGTTTTGGTTTCTTGGAATTCCTTCTGTCGTTCCCGCATGCTGGAGTGTCGGGAAGCTTCCACGGTGATTCAGGTTTACCTGGGGGGCGATCTTGAGTACCTTAATGAGTGTTTGTTTGCCACTGCCCTTCCCCGCGATGTGGGCGTCGTTTAGCTCCATGTGCAGGTTCCCTCCCTTTTGGCGGCACTCGTGGCGGAGGACTTGCACGCCCAGGGCCTTTTGACTTCGGCCTTGCAGTTCTTTTCCCTCCTGGAGCTGTCCTCGGATTGGCTCGTGGAGGATGTGAGAGTGCATGGGTCCATCTCGGGATCCGGCGCCTTGTCCTCGGCAGTGCGTTCGTTGGCTGCCTTGTTGAAGCTTTTCTCGCCGATATTGCGGGATGCGGCTTCCCTGTTTTATGCTTCCCGTCTTGCATGTCGCCAGGTGGTTCTGGGTTCCTCTGTGGAATCTGCTTGGGCTCTGGCTCTCAGGCTGTCATCGCCTTTTTGCCCTCTTCTGTTTGAGGAGTCGGCCGTGGCGCAGTTTATCCAGGCTGCATCGTCAGCTTGTTGTCTGATGTCGGACATGTTGGTTTTCCGGAGATCCCGTGGTGGGTCTTCCCGGAAGGGTCGAGCCAGGGCTCGGGGTTCCTCTTGTCGTAATTACCTAAGTGTAATTACCCAAGTGTAGTTTCAGGATGAGAGCTACACTCGTGGTGTCCCGTCTTCTCAGCACTCTTTGTCATATAACGCTTTGAAACTACTGACGGTCTTGGCCTCCACCATTTTCTCCCCTAACTTGTTCCAACCGTCTACCACTCTGTTTGTGAAAGTGAATTTTCTTATATTTCTTCGGCATCTGTGTTTAGCTAGTTTATATCTATGACCTCTTGTTCTTAACGTTCCAGGTCTCAGGAAATCTTCCCTATCGATTTTATCAATTCCTGTTACTATTTTGTATGTAGTGATCATATCACCTCTTTTTCTTCTGTCTTCTAGTTTTGGCATATTTAATGCCTCTAACCACTCCTCGTAGCTCTTGCCCTTCAGTTCTGGGAACCACTTAGTAACATGTCTTTGCACCTTTTCCAGTTTGTTGATGTGCTTCTTAAGACATGGGCACCACACAACTGCTGCATTTTCTAGCTTTGGCCTAACAAAAGTCATGAACAATTTCTTTAGTATATCGCCATCCATGTATTTAAAAGCAATTCTGAAGTTAGAAAGCGTGGCATAGGCTCCTCGCACAATATTCTTTGTGGTCCTCAGGTGATAGTTTTCTATCTAGAACTACCCCTAGATCTTTCTTTATCAGAATTCTTTAAAGATTTCTCACATATT